TTCTTTCTTTCTTTCTTTCTTTCTTTCTTTCTTTCTTTCTTTCTTTCTTTCTTTCTTTCTTTCTTTCTTTCTTTCTTTCTTTCTTTTTTTCTTCCTTCCTTCCTTCCTTTCCTTCCTTTCTTTCATATCCAGGGCCTCGTGGACAGGTGCTTTAATACTGAGCTAACCCCCAGCCTCTAAGTTGATTGTATTTGGTTTGGTACTGGGGCAGGGTCTTACTAGACTGTCATCCCTGCTGTTCCGTAGCTCAGTGCGCACTGCCTTCTCCATCTGCCTGCCTCAGCCTTCTCGGTAGCAGGGCTCCTAGGCCGGTGCTGCCTGGTCTGGCTAAGCTCATTAGTTCCCAATGTTTGCTTTTCCGGCGTGTTTACTTTGTCAGAAACAGGCAGGCCCACACTGCTGTTTTCTTTTTCTTGTTATGTGGATGGTAGCATATTGTGGAGTCATCTGCAGCCCCAGAGCACCTCCCTTGGCAACTGTGAATAGCAATGCAGGTGTGTGTGCGCCTGGGTTTGAGTTTTGTATTTGGAAATTGGTTATTTTATTTTTAGAAAAGCAGACTTTTGCTTTCTAGTCCTTCAGATGAGGTTTCAAATTGAGTGACTAAGGAAGCACCCTATGGTATAGAAACCCACAGGCACCGGGGAGCCGGTTAGGGGGTTAAAGATTCACAAACAGGTTCCTGGTAAAGGGTTCGCTATTTCCTCTCCAATAGAAAGGGACTGCTGCAGGTGGGCGTGGCCGGAGCAGCTGCAGGTGGGCGTGGTCGGAGCAGCAGTGTGACCCAGGTTCTAACCTAGACTCTTGCGATCACTCATAGACTTACACGGGGTGGCCACAGACTTAGTTGCCTAGCGTGCGCTCTAGCTGGTGTCAAACAAGGTGGCACTCTGTCCCTGAGAAGATCAGCTCAAAAGGAGGAAAAGCTTGTTTTGACTCTTGGTTTTAAAGGTTTCAGTCCATGTTTGCCTGACTTGAGTGCTTTGGACCTGTGGTGAGGAAGGCCCTTGTGGTGGGGACAGGTGGTGGAATAGAGAGAGACAGACAGAGACAGAGAGAGACAGAGACAGAGATAGAGACAGCTAGAGGATAGACTGGAATCACAGATCCTTTTCAACGAAACATGCCCAATGACATTTTTTTTTAAACATATGTTTTCTTTCCCTGTCTGTCTTTAAAACTGACGTACGTTTTAGTCCTTGCTCTCCTGCTTCAGGCCCTTTCCAGAGCAGAGGCCTGGGTCACGGAGAATTCCATTCATGTGGGCACATCTGTCTGCACCGACTCGAGGCAGAGCAGCTGTCCCCTCCCCTGCTCCTTGTCACGTCAGCACCACACTGAGCCTGCTTGCTTCCTGTCATGCGTGAGTTATGGACTCACAAGACGTGGATGACAGTGCCCGGGCTGCTCTGAGCCAGCCTGCTTCCAAGGCCTCTGATGGATGATCGTGCTGAGTCTCCGGGGAAACCCAGGGGGAAATGCAAATCTCAGCTGATTACTATCACTGCACACAATGTAAGCCCATTGGCTCTGATTAGCTAAGCAGCCGGCAGCGGCCTCATTAAAAAAAACGAAAAACAAAAAAACAAACAAGTCGCGCTGGAATCCTGATGAATGAATTTGCCAATTAGCAGTCTCGCCCACTGGACCGCCAAGCTGATCATCGCATTTTCATAGCTTGAAAATTTCCCAGTAAAAGGCTCTGTTTGATGGAAAATTCTATCCTTATTCAAAGAAACAGGGTGCTGGGTCACACTTGACCCTATGTCTGGTTCTACCGGGGCCTGAGGCATGTCACTTCCTGCCCCTATTCCGAGCCTCACTTTCCAGGGGCACAATATTCCCTGCCAGATAACGTGGAGAGGGGGCCAGGATGACTTTTATAACAACCCCTGTTGTGAGAACTAGCCAGAGTCCCAGGAGAACTAGATCACTAAAGACTTCCCAACAGGCCCCACCTCTAAAAAGTTCCATGCTCCCTCCCAATATCACACGAGTCTACGAACCCTTGGAGATGCCCTCAAACCCTATCTGAACTATAACCGTGTCCTTCAGTCTGTCCATTGTGACCTCAAGCAAGGTAATCGACCTCTCTGAGCTTCGGTGTTTTTTAATTTTTTCGAGACAGGGTTTCTCTGTGTAGCTTTGGAGCCTTTCCTGGAACTCGCTCTGTAGACCAGGCTGCCCTCGAACTCAGAGATCCTCCTGCCTCTGCCTCCTGAGTGCTGGGATTAAAGGCGTGCGCCACCAGTGCCCGGCAGTGAACCTCGGTGTTCTTATCCCTTCGGCTCAGACAATAAGCCTACCTCATTATGGCAGTTCTAATCATCCGTCTATGCCTAAGCACTCAGCACTGTGCTTGGCCCAGCACAAGCACCCCGAAACCACCAGCCAAAGGCACCAACGCTACTGCCACACCCCACCCCCACCCCCGCCACGTAGGAATAACCCAGAGGGTTCCACGCAGGCGCAGGCGCAGATGGGCTTCTCCCCACTGCGCTTTGGATAGAAGAGGGTGTGGCTCTCTTTCAGGCGCATGCTGAGAAACAACAACAAGCCGAAGGAAGAGAAGAGTGTGCTCATCCTGCCCCCACGGGCGGGCACCCCGAAGCTCTTCAATGCCGCCCTCGCTGCAGCAGGAAAGATGGGTGCCAGGGGGGCCAAGGGTGGCAAGCTCGCCCACCTGAGAGCCAGGCTCAAGGAGCTGGCCGCACTGGAGGCGGCGGCCAGACAGCAGCAGCTGCTGGAGCAGGTAACGTGGTTGGCACCTAGCTCCTCCCTCTTAGCAGGTTTGCTTCAGGAGGAAGGTGGGGACCTCCAAGAGCCGGCCACACAGCCATGGGACCTTGTTTGGTTGCAAGTGACAGAAGCAGGTTCAAACCTGGATCATAGCTCTCATGGGTGAGAAGCGGATGCAGGGTTGCTACGAATTCTAGGCCAGCCTGGGCTACGTAGTTTCAAGGCAGCCTGAGCTACATTATGAGGCCTTGTCTCAGACAGTCCCTAAGTAAGACATTGTGTTGACCGAATAGGAAAGTGAGAGGATTTAATAACTGTCGAGTTCAAGTGTGGCTGGCTCTCAAGTGGCGGGACCAATCTTCCCATCTGCCCTGTCTCTCTCCTTATCTGATGGCTCCACATCCTTTCATGTGGCCACCCTAACAGGAAGTGCATCTTCCCCGGAGAGTAGAGCCAAAGTCCCCAGGACTCATTGTCCTCACTCAGTGCTGGGCCACGTGCCAATTCCTGAGCCATTACTAGTGGAGCAGGGTGGTGTGTGTCCCACACCTGCCCACTCCTGGACTGGCAGTCCTGAGGGGGTTCTTTGGGGGAAGGTTTTGGGGCTGTTGGGAGGAGTGTGGATAGGCTGGGAATATCCCTCCCCAGATGACAGCTGAGTTCTATTTAATCGTGTCCGTGACCATTTAAATAATTTGGAAGGGGAAAAAAACCCACAACTATGCACAGTGACAATGGCTTCCACTCCTGTGACCCTAAAGGGACGTTAAAATTAGTTCCTGGGCTTTCTTCTTCTGTGACGGAAGCCAAGAAGACCTATTAGAATAACAATGCTAATTTCAGCTGCTCCTGACAGTCTGGAAGCAGACAGCAGTCTGTGTGGCCAACAGAGTAGCCGAGATAACTCAGCCTCAGTCCTGGGCTGTGAAGCAGGGGACACATTCAGGGTTCATTTGACAGCAGATGTTGGGCAAGTGACATCAAAGCCACCTGGGATTCCAGGACATTGCCCATGCGTGGCCCCAGACAGAGGAAAGATGTGACTGTTGTAATGGTCAAGGTCGAGTCTGCATGTTGGCGTCTTTTGTGCTGGCTGCTGTTTCAGGGTTTAGTAAACATGAACCCAAGGACTCTCTCAGAGCAGCAAAAGGCTTCAGCTAAGACAGGTTTCCGCTCCTGTTGCGCGAATGTTCTAAGAAAAGTGTCCCGTGAGGTTTAGAAAGCCAGAGCAGCAGGGCAGTGAAGGAGCTCTTCACTAGACAAGTCCAGAGGCTCTGGCACTCTGGGAAAGAGCCCTGCGCTTTCTGAGACTCAGAGGACTCGTGACAGCAGCAGGACCGCAGAGGTAAAGCGGTGGTTCCTTTTCAAAGTGTTTGAACATGGCAGAGCATGAGGTCAGCCTTCCCGTGATTCTCCCGTTCCTGTTTGTATCTCTTGGCTTCAGAAGTTGCATCTGAACGCCCTGCCCAGGGTGGAGTGTCTTGAGGATTCAGGGTGCCCACGCAGGGCAGAACAAGTGTAGGAAGACATGCGGAAGCAGGGAAGAAGCAGCAGCAGGTCTCTAGGGCTGCTTTGGATTCTAGAAACATCCTGATACCTCCCCCTTCTTTAGTACCCACGACCTGTGCAAACTTCAGGGCTCTCTGCTCCACACAATCACCCTGACTGCTCTCCCTTGGGTCTTGGGCAGCTGAGCATCTTCTAGGATTGTTCCCTCTCCACTGCCTTCCTTACAGAACTAGGGTGAAAGAGCAAGCAGGCGAGAACCTAGGGATTAAAAACAAAAGCTCCCCCCAATTACTTATCGATGGCCAACAACACCCATGGAGGGAGCACCAGGGGCTGCAGCTGCCACCAAGCCCCTGGACCAGGGTCACCGCAAACTAATTTTTCTGTTATCCCACCCCATTCTTCTGTAAGGGCTGCAACCTTTGGAACCTTCCAGAAAGATAGCAGGCCCACTCAGCTGTACCTATGTGCTCCAAGCTTTTCTCATGACCCCAGAACCATTCATTACTAATAAGAAATGTGGGTGTGTAGCCAGGCGGTGGTGGCACACGCCTTTAATCCTAGCAGCACTCAGGAGGCAGAGGTAGGAAGTTGAGTTGGAGGCTAGCCTGGTCTACAGAGTGAGATCCAGGAAAGCTAGGGTTACACAGAGAAGCCCTGTCTTAAAAAAAAAAAAAAAAAAACAAAAGAGGAGGAGGAGTGGTGTCAGGGTGGCTCAGCCTTTGAAGAGGCCAGCCCTCATGGTTATCAGCTCCCCACATAAATTGGGGAGATGGATCTGTTCTCGAATGCACAACCTGACACAGGCTTCCAGCCCGTAATAGTCTAAATTATCCCCAAAGAGCTGGGCAGGGTAGCTCACACCTGCAGTCTCAGCATCCAATCGATAGGCTGAGGAAGAAGGACCCTGAGTTCGAGACCAACTTGTTCTCCACACCAAATTTAAGGTCAGCCGGGCTACTTAGGGAGACACTGTCTCAAAATTAAACAGATCCCCAAGATTTACCCCCCAACATATTGGCCTTTCATCCTCAAACTTCAATCAGTCAATACTACGTTGTTTCTCCTATACTACCCTGATGCCGTTCTGCTAGGCCAGTAGCTTCCATCTCCTGTGTGCCACTGTCCTCTGGAAGTCCCCGAAGGTGGGGGCACGTTGGCTTGAAAGATTCTTTTATGCCCCTTTGGAGAGTGTTTCACCTCACTCTCTCTCTGGGGTTTCAGGCCAAGAGCTCACAGGATGCTGGGGGAGAGGAGGGCTCCGGAGGAGCCGCGGACCAACCTGCGTCCCAGAAACCGCCAGATCCCAAGGAGCCCGCAGCGTCCCAAGAGCCCCCAGCGCCCCAAGATCCCCCAGGGTCCCAGGAGCCCCCAGCCCCGCGCTCTCCACCGCCGGCCCCGGGGAAGCCCGAGGGAGGCACAGAGGAGGAGGCAGCTGCGCCCTCGGAGCCCTCGGTGAGGATCCGCGTGAGCCCAGGCCCAGATCCCGAGGAGCAGATGATGTCCGTGGAGATGCTGGAGGAGAAGAAAGAGGCCGAGTGAGGCGCCTGCAGTGCCTCATGAGTCCCACGATCCCCATCCCGGGTGGACACCCTGCTGTGAGACCACCTGCCTGGACAAGCTTCCTAGCCCAAGGGCACCTCCTCACAGGCCCTGTTGTGGAAATCCTCAAATTTCATCAAATGGTGGTGGTGTTCTTGATCCGTGGAGCGCCCTGCCCCGCTCCCACAGTTGCTAGTTTCAAGAAGAAAACCGCCTCGCACTTTTAAGAGGTTTTAGGAGGGAATAGAAGAGGGCTCCGGCATCAGCAGAGCTCTACTAGAAAAGTCAAGGGTTGGTGATATGGCGGGGTCCCCACCAGAACCCACCCTTGGTCTAAGTGATAGGGAAGAGCTGGGGTAGGAGTGCACACCTGCAAACCCAGTACTGGGGAAGCTGAGGCAGGAGGATTCTTGGTTCAAGGTCAGCCCGGGCTACATAGTGAGAATCTGCCTCAAAACAAACCAATTAGCAAAACAGCGTGGGAGTTCCCAAGTTCCTGTAAGCATCTGGATTCCAGAGCAGTAAACACAGTAGTCTTCGCTGACAGCAGAGCAGGTGATTGGGTACTCTGTACACTGAGATGATTGGCATTGTTATCTTACCCTTTTCAAGTTCTGCTTATTTTAGTAGGCGATGACATTCCAAGTTCTCCGTGCTATTCCTGGTACTCATCCTCCCTGGCCACTCTGAAGCACCAAGTGACAACTGTAGGGAAAAAAACTAGTCCGTACTTAGAGAATATGCTTGTAGTGAGGCGTAGTGGAGCACTAGAGGCTGAGGCAGGAGAATCACAAGTTTGAAGTCAGCCAGGGATACCTGACAATATCCTATCTGAAAAAGAGGGGAATGCCCTGGTTCATCGGTGATGACTACGGTCCCTTGTTCAGACGTGTGGTGACATTTCAGCCACTGTTCATCAGTGAGCATTTGGGTTGTTTCCAGTCTCACATTATTCAGGATAACATCACAGAGCATTGAGAGGTCGCTGTGGGTTGTTGCTCGAGTTTTCCTGCTTTGCCCACAGTCAGGACAAATCTCTGTCACCCGCCAGTCCCACAGCCGCTCAGATCCAACCAAATAAACACAGAGATTTATATTGCTTACAAACTGTATGGCCGTGGCAGGCTTCTTGCTAACTGTGCTTATAGCTTAAATTAGTCCATTTCCATAAATCTATACCTTGCCACGCGGCTTGTGGCCCACCGGCATCTTCACATGCTGCTGGTCATGGCGGCGGCTGCAGTCAGTCCTTCTGCCTTCTTGTCCTTTTATTTCTCCTCTCTGTTAGTCCCGCCTATCCTTCCTGCCTAGCCACAGCCGATCAGGTTTTATTTATTGATCAATCAGAACAACTTGACATACAGACCATCCCCTAGCACAGCCAAGTGCAGACCATCTCAGACACCTGCACTCAGGCCCATGGTCCTAATCATCCTCTATGCGGACCTGCTGGGTAACGCCACAAAGAACCCAAGAAGGGCTCCCACAGGACATACAGAACATCCCACAGCAGTGGGTAGAGGCCTCTGTCACCCACCATGCCAGCCTGATGACATGGACCTCTGAAACCCTGCGAAGGTGAAAAGCATCAGCCCCACAAAGTTGTCTTCCGACCTCCACACATACACTCTGACACACACACACACACACACACACACACACACACAGAGTCAAGAGCTCACAATAATAAAATTCGTCTTGTACAGAAAGGGTTTGCCTTACTGTAGAGCGCTTGCCTGGCCCTGGGTTTGATCCTCAATACCAAAAGAAAGAATCCTGCACAGATCTAATCTCACTGGTATACCTTATTTTATTTTTTTTAAGCAGGGTGAGCCTGGGAGTCTAGTCATATTTTTTTTAACCCTAGTAGCCTCATGTAGCATTGTCATATCTGCACCCCAGAATCTGGAGCCCAGGACATAGAGAACGCCTCCACCTGAGGCAAGTATTCCAGATGTTCCTATAAGGTAAACTTGCCGCCCTTCAGTGGACGGTAAAATGTTTCCTGACCCTGCCACTGTGAGGTCCTGCTTCTTCCTGACCCTGCCACTGTGAGGTCCCGCTTCATAAGGAGTCTGCTTTCTGTGGATGCACCCACTCTTTTAGATGCTAGTCCTTGAAAATAGACGGCTTATTATGTAAAGCGAGAGGTTCCCGGGATTCCTGGTAAGAACGTTAATTTTGAAATGAGATCGGCAGTGTCTTAATTTTACCGAGCTATCTCATTCAGGGTAACACGCTCACAGAACCCTGATATTAGGTCAACTGAGTTGGAGACAGGCATTAATCTCCAAATTAAATTGGACTGGCTGAGGCTTGAATGACACAGCTCAGAGACGGCTATAATCCTGAAGTCAGAACATGTCCGTGTGACCATTGAATCTCTCCTCTTAATCTCCTCAGTGTGTCTTGCATTTTGGTAGATAATGAATCACACGCCATCTTTTTTTTTTTAACTATACAAATATTTTAAGTAGAATTAAAATCAAGAAGCTGTTTAAAATTTCATTATCAAAATACGCTCAGCCAGTGGTCTAAGCTGTTTTCTCAGTAAACAGGAAACCTTATGTACACACCAGCTTTCATAGTACACTGAATTTTAATTAAAGTGCTTAGACAAATATTCCTGGGTTGTGGATTCATTTTAAAAACTAGAAGTTGGGACCAGGTATGATGGTGCCCACCTGTAATCCCAACACTTAGGAGGTGGAATCGGGAGTGTCAGGGGTTCAAGGCCAGCCTCAGCTACTATTGAGGCCAGCTAGGTATACATACCTTATCTCAAACAAAGAACAACAAACCCCAAACAAATGAAAAACTGCAAGTCTGGCTTGGTGGCATATACCTGTACACCTAGTACATAGAGGCTGAAACAAGAAGATAGAGTTGAAGGTCAACCTGGTCTACCTAAGGAGACCCTGTCAAAAGACAAGCCAACCAAAAGGGGCCAGTGAGAGGAACCAGTGGAGCGGAAGCAGAAGCCTCAGGCCAAAGGTAAGCCAGGTGACCATGGCAAGGCAACTGCCAAGCCTGTCTACAGGACACGCTCAAATACCAGTTGGGAGTTCCGGAGAGACACTGGCTGCTCCTGAGGGAGGGATTAGCAGTGAATAACAGATCTATTTTACGGAGCGTTGTGGCTGGCCATTGTTTCTGAGAGGGAACCTATTGTTAAGACCAAACTTCCCCATAGGCCTGATTAAAAGGAGCAATCACAAGTAAGGAAGCTTGTGATGAACAGCTCCCCTCCTCCCCACGCCCCCACCCCCGCCCACCACACATACACATTCCTGAAGCCCCAGGAGGCCGTCATGAAGAGGGGAAGGGCCAGCCATGGACAGGCTGGATAGTTCAGGCGGCAGGAGGTTTGGCTTTGGCACCAAGGGTACTGTGAATACATCCTCAAGTGGCCAAGACCTGAGCCCATCTCCTGACTGGAGAGTGAGTGTGGTAGTTTTAAGGAGAATGGCCCCTATAGGCTCAGGTATTTGCATGGTTCATCCCCGGGTGGTGGTGAACTGGCCCAGAAGGATTAGAAGGATTAGGAGGTGTGGCCTTGTTGGAGGAGATGCGTCACTAGTGATGGGCTTTGAGCGTTCAAAAGCCCATGCCAGGCCCAGTGTCTTGCTCTATGTGCTGCCTGCAGATTGGATCTTCTGTAAGCTCTCAGCTACTGCTCCAGTACTGTGTCTGTCTGCTTCCTGCCGTGATCATCATGGACTAACCCTATAAACCTGTAAGCAAGCCCCCAGTTAAATGCTTTTGTTTGTAAGAGTTGCCTTGGTTGTAATAGACTAGTTAGTAACAGAACACAGCAGCCGAACAGTTAACTAAGACAGTGAGAGAGCTATGGGCTGAAGGTCTGGAGCCAGACCTACTGTGAGGTCCGTCGCCCAGGGAACGAGACGGCGTGATCAACCATAGCTTTATCCGTCCAGGCGCAGATTTAACGCTGAGTGGGTTCTGAAGGTACGAAGACTGGTCCTCCCACACAGATCTCGGTTGTGTTTGCTCCATCAAACAGCAGAGCACGCCACTTGGGAGACATCCCCTGGCCAAGCATTTTAGCCTCACTGGAGGGAAGCGGGAAGCCGGAAGACGGGACCTCCAGAGGAGGAGAGAACCTGCCCAGCCCATAGACTGCAATACTAAGTGTGGCCAGCAGAGGCCGCTAATCCACCGAGAAGGGAAATGCTGCAGTGAGAACAGCTGTGTTGAACATTTGCCGCTATCCTGGTTCCGCACCTGTCTCTCCCCATCCCCTCCTCTACTGGGCAGATTCCAATTTTAGAGGACCCAGAAGGAAGCCACGCAAGTGCTTTATTCTGCCCCTCCTTGTAAAAAAAAAATGTTCTCTTAGTAAACACACTTCGTGCACACTCAGCCTTTCACATCATAGCGCATTTTTCTTTTCATTGTAGTAACCGTTTCACTATCATTTTAAATCTATTTTACTTTTATTTTTTTTTAAAGATTTCACGTTTTTAGTTTTTTTTCACCTTGTTACACTGATCTTGGTTGTCTCGCTCACTCAATTGAAGTTGCACCAGTTTGCCAGGCGGCCTCCATATGCACTTACGGACACCCTTCCACGTGGACCTGTCCACTGCCACCCTGGGCCCCTGTCTGACAGGTCCTGGCCCCCCGGGAACATGCGTGGATCGAGACTCCATCCTATGGCACTGAGCTCTCCCCCTGTCACCCCCTCTGTGCTGCTGGGATCCTCCTGGCCGGACTCCTATCTCCGGCCCCGCGTACCTGGACTTGGAAAGGAAAAACCCTTTCCCGAGTCTCTCCTATGTCCTCTGTGCTCTGCTTCTGGGAATTCTTTACGCTCACCCTTTCTTCCAGGGGTGGCCCTTCTTCCCTCTAACTGACCGTGGGCTCCTCTCATTCAAAATTAGACTCCTCCCACCTGCCCTCCCAATTCTCCTTCCCTCCTCGAACTCAGATACCATGAACCTTGCCACCTTACTTTTTTTAAAAAAACTACAATATAGCTTGACCTCAGTACAAGCTTGATAACCAGTCTCACTGGACTGAAAGTGGGACATTAGACCTTTAAATTCTCACTGCTCTTGACAAATTCTGCCGACGCTTCGGCAAGCAGCCCGAGACTCTCTGCGTCCAAACCTTTGCTCTCTGCTCTTGTCCCTCTGTGTGTCTCCTGTCACAGCTGCCAAATCCTCCTGGCAAAGGCCAAACCTGACCCAAAGCTGACCAGGACCTCAGCTCCCTCTCCTTTCCATAGAGGACAATCCCTGTGGGTGCCGCCCCAGCCTGGCCCTCCGTGGGCATCACCCCAGCCTTGCCCACAGCGCCCTTCCAGCCTGCTGCACCTTTCACCCCGACTCAACCTCATCCTTGCTTTCTCCCTATGGGATCAGCCGTACCCACTCCCATACAGATGGTCTTTATCCCGTCAGGGAAATGGTGGGCCTCAGCTGCATACTCCACGTCCCCTTTTCTATGGTGAATCTCTCCCAGGGAGAAAAGTACCTCCGTTCTTTCCCTGATGACCCTTCTAACTTCATCAAGGAATTCAGGTTCCTCACCAAATCTGTAGCCTCACCTGGCGTGATCTCTATGTTATTCTTCCCTCTCCTCTCCTCTCTGAGGGAAAGGAAAGGGTCTGGATGGCTGCCTGGGCCTGTGGGAGTTGGAAAGAAAAATGGCCCCCACAGGGAGTGGCACTGTTAGGAGGCGTGGCTTTGTTGGAGTGGATGTGGTCTTGTTGAAGATCGTGTGTCACTGTGGGGGCGGGCTTTGAGGCTTCCTATATTCAGGATACCGCCCACTGTGACTGTCATCGACCACTTCCTGTTGCCTGCAAGATTCTCAGCTCCAGCAGCATGCCCACCTACGCACCGGGCCCTAGCGCTCAAGAGGGCATGCTTGTCCTCAACACTCATTTACTTTCCCAGTCAACCCAGCTATTAGGAGAAAACTTAGAGTCTAGATGACGGCCCTCAAATCCCTCAGAGAGGTCTGTTGAATATGGCATTTAAGGTGTTTAATGGAAGGGAAGAGCAGGGAAGGATGGGATGGACTTCTCATAATAGACAGAAATACCAGTTTCTGGCAGCAGC